CCAAGACCCAAGATGGCCTCTAGACGACCCAAGAAGTCTGCAAGACGCCCCGAGCATCCTCCAAGAGACCTCCCCAGAGGCCCCCTAGAGGCACACACTAGTGATTTACCATACGCTTTTGAAGGATGTTGGCGTTCTCGTCTTTTCGACTTGCCGGCGCTCCAAGACGGCTCAAGAGGCCCCCAAGATCGCTCCAAAACGACCCCAGATAGCCCCAAGACAGCCCCAGAGGCTTCCAAGATAGCCCAAGAGGCTCCCAAGACGGCTCCAAAAGCAGGCCCAGACGGGGGGAACCCGAACGGACATTTCGAGCTGTAAGCCCCGAGAGATCCCAAGGAGGTCCCAAGAGGCCCCCAAGATGCCCCCGAGAGGCTCCAAGAGACCTCCACGAGGCCCTCAAAAGGCCCCCAACAGGCCCCTAAGAAGCCCCAGGAATGCCCAAAACATCGCCAAGAGGCCCCCGAAAGGCCTACCGAGAAACCTCAAAACGCCTTTCCAAAGAGGCGTTTTGTCCACGACCAAATTTGGCCCCAACTGCCCACGGATACGGAAAAAACCCGAATGAATTGTCACACCGTCGAATACGGGTACGGAAAAGCCCAAGTCCACCGCAGTGCGCAACATGGGCCAGCGGAATGCGCGAAGCGATTAAAGAGTGGCAGCACGTTATACCACCAGCACTTTAGGGCGTGAGTAGCTTAGAGCGTTTCCTCTTCCAACCTCCCTTCTTCCCATTTGTGGATGGGGTCCCTATTAATAAACACCCCCTCCCCCAGGCGACCCGCAGCCAACCAGGACCAATGCCAACACCCCCACCTCCGTATCAAAAAGCAAGCACACTTTGGGGCAAAACCTTGGGTCATGCTCATGGGCCCCGCGAGAACATTGTATTGCTTTTGACCGAGACGGCGGGGTTGCCCTCACATTGTCTGCTTTGTGCAAGGCCATCATTCCTGTCAGCAAAACAGAGCAACATGCATTTCGCTGCTAAATCTGGATTATGCGCGGCCACCCCGCGAGCACTGCCCGTTAATGTTTGACACGGACCGCGGTGGTGCTGGCATATTGCCTGCTGTGCGCAGGTCCACCAGACAACATGATGGCCTCTCCGCGCTTGCGCAATGGTTTTCGACAAGGATGGTGGGGTCCAACATGTTTCCCAAAGTGTGCTGTCACGTAAGCGGGCGCACCTGGCACACTCTGCGCGTGCCCCAGACGTGGCGCACCTGGCACGGCTGAACCATGCGGCACACGTGGCGCACGTGGAGTACGTGGCGCATCTGGCGCGCGAGGCGCGCCTGGCACGCTTGGGCTCAAAGGGTACCTGGCGCACCTGGAGCGCCTGGCACGCGTGGCGAACCTCGTCACGTCGTGTACATGGGGTCTGAGCTGAGTCCCAGTAGCTGCCCATCCATAGACGACCGCTGAACATGCTGAGGCCCAGGAGGTGTTACTTATGTGTTGGGAGGGCGGGTAGGGGTAAGCGAGACAGCTTGCAGGCGGGGAGCGTGTCTTGATCACTTTTCCATATATATATATATATATACACACATCCTCCCCCAGGCGACTGGCAGCCAACCAGGAACAGTGCTGACCCTGTGATCCCCAACCATCCCTGTCACAAAGACAATACAAACACACACGCTGCCTCCAAATTCGGAGCCTGCACAACCAACCCGATGCGGGTCCCCCCCAGCCCCCATCATCCCTGCCAAAAAACAATGCGAAGTACACTTTGGGGCAAGGACATGGGTCATGTTCGTGAGGCCCGCGGGCACTTGTTGTTTTGTTTTTGACAGGGGCGGCGGGGGTGTCAGCTTATTGCCTGCTGCGCGCAGGGCCACCATCCCTGTCAACAAGCAATACAAAATGCAGCTAGCGGCTAAATCTGGATCATGCGCGGCCATCCCGCGATCACTGACAAGTGGTTTTTGACCCGGACGGCGGCGGTGGTGGCGCATGGCCTGCCGTGCGCAGGCCCACCAGACACAGTGATGGGCAGTGGTTTTCGACAGGGATGGTGGGGCCGACGTGTTTCCCGATGTGTGCTGTCACGTGCGCAGGCGAGCCTGACACACTCTGCGCGTGCCCCGAACGTGGTGCACTTGGCACGGCTGGACCATGCGGCACACATGGCGCACGTGGAGTACGTAGCGCATCTGGCGCACCACGCGTGCCTGGCACGCTCAGGCCCCAGGAGTGCCTGGCGAGCGTGGCGCCCCTGGCACGCGCGGCGCACCTCGCCCAAGCGTCGCGCACATGGGGTCGGCGTTGGTTCCCAGTAGCTGTCCATCCAAAGACGACCGCTGAGCATGATGAGGCTCGGGTGTTACTTATGTGTTGGGAGGGCGGGTGGGAGTGAGCTAGACGGCTTGCTATCTGGGAGGTGCCTTGTTCACTATTCCTTTTTAGAATACACCCCTTCCCCCGCCCGGCCGGTGTCCAACCAGGAACCATGCCGACACCATGAGGGCCCGCTCCCCGCCATCCATGTCAAAAAACAATACAAACGCACTCTGCCTCCACATTTGGAGCATGCGCGGCCAACCCGATGCGGCCCCCCTTACCATCCCTGCCCAAAAACAATGCAAAGTACACTTGGAGACAAAGTCTTGAGTCTTGAGTAATGTTCGTGAGGCCCGCGAACACTTTGTAGTGTTTTTGACAAGGACGGCGGGGGTGCCAGCATATTCCCTGCCGTGCGCAAGGCTACCACCCCTGACAAAAATCATACAACATGCACCTCGCGGCTAAATCTGGATCATGCGCGGCCATCCCGCGATCACTCTCACATGGTTTTTGACACGGACGGCTGGAATGGTGGCGCGTGGCCTGCTGTGCGCAGGCCTGCCAGACACAATGATGGTCACTGGTTTCCGACAAGGATGGCAGGGGCCGACATGTTCCCCGATGTGTGCTGTCACGCGCGCAGGCGCACGCACTCTGCACGTGCCCTGAAAATGGCGCACCTGGCGCGGCTGGAGTGTGCGGCACACCTGGCGCACTCGGAGCTCGTGGCGCATCAGGCGCACCAGACGTGCCTGGCATGCTCGGGCCCCAGGAGTGCCTGGCGCGCGTGGCGCCCCTGGCACGCGCGGCGCACCTCGCCCAAGCGTCGCGCACATGGGGTCGGTTTTGGCTCCCGGCAACTGTCCATCCAAAGACGACCGCTGAGCATGATGAGGCTCGGGTGTTATTTATGTGTTGGGAGGGCGGGTGGGAGTGAGCTAGACGGCTTGCGGGCGGGTGGGTAGCTTGATCCCTCTCCCTACCCCCTCCCCTGGGCCTAGAGGGGACGGGGGGCGCGTGTCGTTAGGGCGCCGAAGAAGGCCTCGGCGAGAAGGCAAAAATCATCGAGTGTCCTTACGTGTTGGACCAATGTTGGCCTCCGGGGGGGGGAACCCTAATCTAGTACCCGCCTTACCTGATCGGAGGGCCCCAAGAGGCACCCAGAAGGCTTCCAAAAGGTGCCCAAGGGGCTTCCAAGATACCCCCAAGAGGCCCCAAGGGGCTCCCCTGAGGCACCCAAGACGCTCCCAGAGGCCCCCGGGGCCGCCAAGTGGGCCCAAAGACGCCCCAAGAGGACTCCAAGACACTCTCCAGAGACATCCGAAGAGACACCGAGAGACATCCAAAAAAGGCCTACGGCCTTTCTGCTCTCCCTCCTCCGTTCCTGCTCACTGTGAACTACTCCTCCCTGTCGCATCTCGAGGACGGTCGACAGGGCGGGCCGGACGTTTCGCCTGAGGCTTCCTCGCCGCTCACGACCCTGAAACCTAGAACTGTGGAACTTGTAACAGCTCGAAAACTGGAATGCGGGCCGTTCTGAAATTATGGGTCTCGCTTTAGCGTCGAGCACGGCCGTCTTAAAATTCTGCAAGAGCTTCACGGATGGAGGGCAGGTCGTTTTGAAAATGCGGCTCTCGCCCTAACGCCGCGCACAGCCGTCTTCAAAATTTGAACGAGCTTCCCGAATGGAAGGCGGGCCGTTTTCAAAATGTGGCTCTTGCCTGAGCGCCGCGCACATTCGTCTCAAAGTTTCCGAGACCTTCACGCGTGGAGGGCAATTCCTTTTCAAATGTGAATTCTCATGGTTAACGTCCCAGAATAGCAGGCTGCCGGACTGTCATGGCGCAACAAGTACGTCAATTCGTTGTGATCAAGACCCCGAAATGGTGTTCTGGCTCGGCTCAGGATCATCAAGACGCAACAGCAACGGTGATTCGCGGCGTTGAAGTCCCAGGAATTGTGTTCTCGCATCAGTCAGAATTTTACAGAAAAGTTGCTTTCCAACGGGGCAGTTCCCGCAGGGGTAACGAACCCGTGTAGGGACATCTGAAAAGTGAACTTGGAGGGAGGGTGTATTGCAAGATCGTTGATAAGTATTTGCTTTGCACTGGTCCACCTCCTCCTCCTTCTCCTTCTTATTCTTCTTCTTTTCCTCATCAGTCTATTTCTCCTCTTCCCTCGTCCCCCTCCCCGTCCTCCTCCTCCTCCTCCTCCTCCTCCTCCTCCTCCGATTCCTCCTCCATCCTCCCCCTCTTGGTGGATGACCGCTTCCCCAGGCCTTTCTTCTACTGCGTGCTCCTCCACATCCCTGATCAGGGCAACTCACCTGGGCATCGCTTCTGGATGGGCTGCGCCAAGGAGACATATGTATTTCCGAACGGTATTTGACTAACGCTCACATTCTCGCCATCTCGATGCTCTGACCCCAAGCCCCCAGATTGGCCCCAGACAGCCGAACAAGTAAAATAAAGGAAAGGAGGGGGAAGGACGACGTCGGCAAGGACGACGACGAAGACCGAAACGAAAACGACAACCCACCACCACCACTACCACCACCACGGCGACGACGCCCTCGCCCTCAAAGAAAGGAAGCAACGACAAAACTATTGATCCCTCTCGTCACGCCGTCTTCGTCGCCGCCGCCGCCTTCGTCATCGTCGTCGTCGCCGTTGTCTTCCATGCCTCCGGCCGCAATGCGATGCCGGCGTGCATCACGTGCGCCGGGGCGAGGCAGCCTGCGCGCCGGCGCGGCCGCTCCTTCCTCCCCTCCTGCGGCGCGAGCGCCGCCGGTCCCCGACGGCGTCAACACGGCCCCACGACAGCCACAAGACACAGCCCCATACGGCCGAGAGGGCCCGGATACGGCCCCAAGAGGGCCCCAAGATGGCTCCGTGGGACCCCAAGGCTTCCCCACACGAGCCCAAGACAGCCTCAAGACGGCCCACATGAGCCCGGTGAGAGCTCTTCAAGAATTGAAGACGACAGGTGTCGCATGTGACGGCCGTCCTCTCCTTTTCCTCCTCCTCCTCCTGTTCCTCCTCCTCCTCCTCCTCTCCTCCTCCTCCTGTTCCTCCTCCTCCTCCTCCTCCCCTCCTCCTCCAGATCTCCCTCTCCCTCCTCCTCATCATCATCATCATCATCATCATCATCATCATCATCATCATCATCATCATCATCATCATCATCATCATCATCATCATCATCATCATCATCATCATCATCATCATCATCATCATCATCATCATCATCATCATCATCATCATCATCATCATCCCCCTCCTCTTCTTGTTTTTCCTCCTCCTCGATCTCCTCCGCCTCCCCTTTTTTTCTCCTTTTCCTCCTCCTCATCCACAAACTCAAATTCATCCTCCGCCTCTTCCCCCTCCTCTTCCCATTCCACCTCCTCCTCCTCCTCCTCCTCCTCCTCCTCCTCCTCCTCCTCCTCCTCCTCCTCCTCCTCCTCCTCCTCCTCCTCCTCCTCTTCCCCCCCTCCACCCTCATATTCCCCAACGCGGCCCGCTACTAAAATATGTGTTTCGCCTTGGCGCCGCGCACACTTGTTCTAACAAAATTCAACAAGAGCTTCACAGATTGACGGCAAATCGTTTTCAAAATTTGGCTCTCGCCCCAGCGTCGCGCACATTCGTTTTCAACAAATAAGCACTTCACGGGTTGAGGACGGATCCTGTTCAAAATGTGGATGAACGGGTCGATCTCAGCCCAGACGGACAAGTCAAGGACGGGATGGGGAAAACTCAAACCACTATTGATTCAACACCTCGGCGGAGCGGCCGGAAGACACGCAGGGATTATCTTGACTGTCGTCGGTACAAGTACGACGAACACGGCTGCGAAGACGTCGCCACAGCTAGGGCGAAAAGAATCTATTGACACAACGTGCGATTGATACAAGCCGGGGATCATGGGATTTCTAACAACATTCGCGCGGGGTACACTTTGCGTCGGCTATTGTCTACTCTGGCTGGCGCCGCTGGTCGGTCACCCATTCGCAATGGAGTGGTCGCCCGCAGAGGTTACTTGGCATTTGCTGATCCTCCTTCTCGTGGCCGAACGCGGGGGGGACGGTGGCACACCGCCCCATCGCCCGCCGCCGCGCACCGCGCGCCTCGGCGGATTCCCAACAACCTGGCAAGGCAAATCATGTGCGACTCTGGAAAATTCTCCGGGGTACATTGAAAAGCGGAAACGTTTTGGAGGATGTCCGGCCTCCTCTTCGAGAAAAAACAAATATCAATTTTGAAAATTGCGGGATCGATTTAGCAAAATTCCAGAATCCAGTTTGAAAACTCCGGATTTCATAATTCTTAGATGTCCTGCGCGGCGGGCGCATTCCACCCTCGAAACTTTTGTTTCGTTGAAAATTGCCGGGCTCCTTTTTGAAAAATTCTGGAACCGCTTGCGCCAGGAGAAACGGAAGCGTCTTCTGAAGCATTCTAAAATCCAGTAACAATTTCCGGGCGGCACAACGGGCGCGGCCGGCTGATTCGCGCGCCGCGCCGCGCGCGATTGGGCGCAGCGCGCGCCGCGCGTTGCGCCCGCGAACAGCACCCGAAGGGGTCACCTCGAAAACAGCGCCACGGCAGCTGCGACTCGCGGACTCCCCAAGAGCAACGCAGCATGCAGCTTAGAATCTCCGAGGGCGCTCCGACGCGCGAAAAACGCACTGCGCGCATCACGCAAAAAGCCTGCGCGACGGAATGCGATTGACCATTCGTCCTGGAGCCCGCGCGGAAGAACGGGAAAACCTGGAAAGCTTGAAAACTATCACTATCAATACTTCATGCTCCTCTGAACACCTCCTGATGACTCTGGATGCGCTCCGCTGGCTAAGTTTGACATCGGGATGGGGGGTCGGATAGTAGCACGTCGCGTTGACCTCAGCCCACGAGTTGCAATGGCAACAGACGCACCAGCGAGCAAAGGCCATGCATATTCTTACAGCGTAAGGTGGCCATGCCAAAATGCCGCTGCAGCAGTGGATCCCATCGCAGTGCACGAGCAATCGCCCACTCAAGGCACTAGCCACGGACTGACTTCAGGGCCCACAAGCATGTAGCTTCAAGGGTGGCAGCCGGTTCATGTGTTATCACATCCCGAACTCCGCTAACCGACTCCGACATAGCTTGTCAAACCAATTCCAGACGCTCCAGAGAAGGAATGGACATTGGGATCTCCAAGATCACGGCCTCCAGGAACTCCGAGAGAGACATCGCCCCGACTAGCAATTCACTTCGGAGTGGAGGGAGACGAATAATCGGGCTTGCATGGTCCCATCGAGAAGTAGACGGGGCGCGGTCAGTCATTCGGCACCTTCGGGCGCAGAGCGCCGGGCACTCCACGCGCGCACAAATCGCGGCGCAGTGTTTGCGGCGCAGACTTGTGCGTTCAGTTTAAGCGCGCTGCGCGAGCGATTGCCCCATCGCGCGCAACGCGCCCAGCGTCATGTTCTTGGTGGAACTCGGCAACCCTTGGAAAAATACCATGGACGAGACGAGCGCGAGCGCGATCCCCAGGAGACCGCCCCGAACTGTCCCCGCGCAGAGAATTGACGCCCCCCAGGAGAAGACGATGACTGCCAGCACTCGCAAGATAGGCTTGCCCAGACGCGCGCAGAGAACGAGCGTGCATTGCGAGGGCGTCGCTCGCGCTGGCGAGGTGGAAGTTGAAGACGGAGATAACGCCAGAAGGGCCAATCAATTGAGCGAGACGGAAAGGCCCAGGAATGAATTCAATATGCTGGATAGTGCACAACAGACGAGTAAGAGCAGGACCTACAACAGTAATCGCACCATCTTCGCGCTGACAGTCCGACAAGAGGGAGTTGCAAGTGTTATGCCCTTGCTGAATCGAATTCCTAACAACGCGATATCTGGACTCGCATGAAGAGATGAAGGAAGAGCGAGAAGCCAGCGCCGGCCCGCCGACTAGCACGAAGGACCGAACTAAAAAGGCCGCGGGAATTCGACGCGCGCACAAGAGAAAGGGAAAACAATCAGGGGGCGGAGAAGGGGGCGGACCATCATCGCTGCTGCAGCCTGTGCGCAGCGGCGGTTCACATCGATCGTGCACATCGTTTACATGGCCGTCGGCTCTGCGTCAAGGCTGCGTCGCGAATCTGCCCGATGTGCCCCTGAAGGGAAAGCCCGTGGATGCCGACGTCTTTCAAACTCGAGCGAAACCTCGCGAGATTCTTCGGCGCGCTCGAGCTGCGCTCGCGGGGCTGAGCCCTAAGGAGCACGCAAAGCGCGCGTCAGGCTGCCGAGCCCGTTGCTGCCAGGGGGTTCTTCTTGTCCTGGAGGGCGCGCGTCTGGCAGGTGCGCATCCGACCCATAGCAAGAAAGAGCTGGCGGCCACTGGCGCCCTGGTCTCGCTTGGCCTTAGGCCGAGAGGGGTCGACGCGAGCGGGTCGGCGATCGCGAGCTGGCTTTGCTGCGCGGCAGACGCCATGCAATTGCAGGCGCCCCTTGGCGGCTCAAACTCGAGCGCGATCTTAGCGGGCATGTGAAAGGCATTGATGTCAATGAAACTGTGGCGCCCCATCGGAGCGAACCTCTGGCGGATGGCCTCGCCGATGTTTCGGGGCGTGGACTGAGGCGCGCTGCCCAGGAAGCCGAAAACTGCGAGCTCGGAGGCGTCGCCTCGAGACTCCTCCGACGCTGAAGCCAAAGAGGAGCGAGAGCCAATCGAAGAGGGAGGTGCCGAAATTACTTCGAACTTCTCCTGAATTGCATCGATCCCCCCCTGGGCGCCGAGGACAATCCAGAGGCGACGCGCGTCGGCCAGCTGGCGTCGCGCCGACGACGCGCGCCTGATGGCGCGGACAGCAGAGGATGCGCACAAGCGGCTGCAGGCAGTGCATGTGGCGGCCGGCCGTGTCGGGCTAGAGCTGCGCCGGGGGAAGCTCCAACTCCTGCGTACCCGGTGCGACGGCGACGTCAAGACGCCAGCCGGCGACGTCATCGAAGCCGCGGAGACGTTTCTTATCTCGGCACCACCATCAGCAACGATGGGAGGGTCGGAGGGGAACTTGCCAGACGACTCGGGGCTTTTTTTTCTCCATATTTTTCGAATATCTGGAAGGTGTGAGGCCGCGCAAGCGTCGGCGAAACGCGCAAATTGCAGCTCTTCAACACAACGGCAGCCCCTAAGCAGCTCTACAAGCTGAGCACGGCGTGCTTCAACGCGACGGAGAGGCGCCGACTCGACGGAGCGCATTGCAGGATGCCCAGAAGGCTGCGTGGCGTCACGCACCCAAGGGTTCCGCACGCGTCAAGCGACGCAATCAATCAACGAACAGGCCAGGCGCCACTCTCGAGATGTCCCCCGCGCCATCAAGCGCTGATGCTCGGCAAAGTAGCAGGGACACAGGTGGGCGACCCGCTGAAGGACTCAGTCTTCGCCCCCGGCACGTGGCGGCGCCCGGCAGACACCGATACGTTCGCAAGTGTGGGCGGCCAAGATTGGAATGGGCTAAACATCTACACCCGCACGTCGTTTGATTTGCCGGATAAGGTCGCCGATGGGAGCATCTCATTGAAGACGAGCATATATGGAAAGAGAGAGAGAGAGAGAGAGAGAGAGCACGTGAAAGTGGCATGCGCGCCCCCACGGGCTGGCTGCAGCGCGCGCGCATTCCTCCCCCCTCTCGCGTTTTCTTCGGTCGCCCCCCCCTTATCGCTCGTCCTCCCCTCGCTTGCTCCGCCTCGCTTCCCGCCCCCCCTCGTCGCAGGTCCCTCTTTCCTTCGCGCGTTCTCCCCTCCGACATGTGTTTAATACATGTATCATGGTGTGCCTGCCGACGCGCCTGTGGGCGCGCGGTTTCCGTCGGTCTATCTGTCTGTCGGCGTCACCTGCGCCCATCGCGTCTGTACTTGGCGCAGCGTTCGAGGGTGAGGCGTCGGAGATACGGCAATTAACTTGATTCTTGAGGTTGGCGAAGCGGTCCTTCAGTCCAAGCAGCAGCTGCGTGGTCTTCAAGGACGAAAACCTCTTCTCAATCTCGGCCGTGAGGTTGCCAATCTGGGTGGTGAGGGCGTCGCACCGCTGATGGCAGTTGTTTCGTGATTCGGCATTCTGACATTGGGCGGAAGGGGGGGGATGGGGGGGGTCTGGCTCCAGACCTCTGCTTAGTGCGACCGTTTTGCAGCAGTGCGTCCTGGATGGGGGGGGCTCCAACTGCCCGAGACAGGCGCCAAAACCAGCCAAGATCTACTCCATGGAGGGGGGGGAGGGGGGGTGCGAGGACCCGAGCCGATCGGCAAAACAACGAATAAGAAAACGGTCACTTGCTGCGTCGCCTGCACCTGGTTCTTGATGAGGGAGATGTCGTAGCTGGAAGCAGCGAGCTGTTGCCCGAAGCCCTGGAAGGACTTCAGCAGCTGGTCGAGCTTGTCATCCGAGGTCAGAGCCGCAGGCCTCCTCTGCCGACGAGACCTGCGACTCGCGGAGGCACTGCGGCTGCTGCGGAAGCTCTCGCGCGAGTCCGAGCGAGCACGGTGGGAGGTCGCAGCCTTGTGAGCGCGACCGTGGGACGCCACGGCAGCAGTGCAGGGGCGGGAAGAGGAGGTGGCGGTAGAGAGGTCGAAAGCAGCTGGCCCCTGGCCTTGGGCAGGGGCACTGGGCAGCGGCAATCTGAATCGCTGCTCCTGTATGAAGGAGCCCCCGGACACACAAATTCGCCGGCCCAACGGGCCAGAGGCGTGCTAAGATCTCTGGTAACTGGTAAACAGTATTTCTAGTTCGCGCGCGCGGGGCGGCCCCTGGGGGTCCCTGGATCAAAAGTACCCTGGGAGGAGCCCGGGACACGCCCGGGACACGCCCGAGACACGCCCGGGGCACTCCCCCAGATCCTCCAGGATCGCCCCAAGAGGGCCCCAAGAGGCCCTCAACACAATCCAAGAGAGGTCCGAGACGCCCGAAGATCGCTCCACGGCGCCCAAGATGCCAGACGGCCCAAGACGTCTCCAAGATGACCCAACAAGCCTCCAATATGCCCCAAGAGACTTCCAGGAGCACTCCCAAGAGGGCCCCAAGAGGCAATAATCAATGTTTTTTCTTCTTAGGTTTTGGACAGATTTGGGCGTTTCAACCTTTTCGGTTCCCCGACGCCCCTACACGGCTCAAGAGGCCTCCAAGATCGCCCCAAGAGGGCCCAAGAGACCCTCAAAAGGGCCCCAAGACGGCCCAAGACGGCTCCAAGACGGCCCCAGAGGCCTCCAAGACAGCCCAAGAGGGCCCCAAGAACGCCTCCAACACGGTCCAAGAGAGGTCCGAGACGCCCGAAGATCGCTCCACGGCGCCCAAGATGGCCTCCAGACGGCCCAAGACGTCTCCAAGATGGCCCAAGAAGCCTCCAAGATGCCCCAAGAGGCCTCCAAGAGAACTCCCAAGAGGGCCCCAAGAGGCAAAAACCTGTGCTTTCCCTTTGGTGTTGGACAGATTTGGGCGTTTAAACCTTTTCGGTTCCCCGACGCCTCTACACGGCTCAAGAGGCCTCCAAGATCGCCCCAAGAGGGCCCAAGAGGCCCCAAGAGGGCCCCAAGACGGCCCAAGACGGCTCCAAGACGGCCCCAGAGGCCTCCAGGACGGCCCAAGAGGGCCCCAAGAACGCCCCCAACACTACACAGCTCCCGACGCCGCAGCTCCACACTGCAAACGACCCCACTCGGACAGGCGACCACGGTGCGACATTATGGGCCCGCGGAATGAGCGAAGCGATTAAATAAATGTACACAAATAAAAACATTCCCCATATTTTCTGTGTTTCTGTCTTCCCCCGCACTTCCCATATTTTCCAATATTTTCTGGGGAATCGAGGATTAATTGTGTCTATGTGTTATTTCTCCTCCTGACTGTAGGCCGCGCGCAGAGGGGGGCAGAGGGAGGGGGGAAGGCTTCTTAGGAGGAGGCTGCTTCTTCAAGGCGCTGGCCCTAAATGCATAGAGAAGGCCCGTGCCTTCTAAGAAGCAGGGGTGCTTCTAAGAAGCCTTGCCCCCACCCCCTACGTACCCCTCTCTGCGAGTGGCCGGTCCTGCCCAGCTGGCTCCAAACATGTACTGCTTGAGCCAAAACGGCTATGGAGGAAGGGGGGGCATCTTGTTACGTAACCTCATTTCCTTCTGTCGCGGCCGCGCGGCCGATCAGATCGGCAATTTATGCTGGCACATCGTCCGTTCGAGAACCCTTGTTGACGCGGTAGTTTTTACATACAGTGACCAGCCATTCTTGAGGCTGTGTGATCCGTCCTCCTCCTCCTCCTCCTCCTCCTCCTCCTCCTCCTCCTCCTCCTCCTCCGTTTCCTCCCTGTCCTCTACCCTTTACCTCAACCTCCTCCTCTTGCCTCCTACTCCTCCATCTCCCGCGCCTCCTCCCCCTCCTCCCCCTCCCTCTTCTTCATCCACCTCCTCCTCCTCCTCCTCCTCCTCCTCCTCCTTTCCATCATTATCGTCATCACTCTCCTCATTCTCTCCTCTGTTTCATGATATTCCGCCTCCTTCTCGTCCACTTCATCATCCTGCTCCTCCCCATTTTCATCCTCCTCATGTTCCTCGTTCTTATCATCATAACCATCCTCTTCCCTCCTCCACCTCGCCCACCTCCTCCCCCGCATGTTGCTCATGATGTGCCTTCTTCATCCTCATTCTTCCAAGTGCCAAGCACCCTCTTTCTCCTCCGCCCATTTTGTCCCCTAATATACCAGGCGCGCCGCAGGCCGGTACGCGGCGGAGGGGCGGGCCCTGCATCCACAGCTGGTGGTAGCCGAACTCCTCGAAGTCCTACTGGGGAGACGCAAGGCTCGAGTTTGGGAGACTCGAACTTGCCTGACACCGGCCGCCACGCGCCCGTTGATTGATGTTTTGCGATAACGCTCGTGATCGGCTCCGCCCACCCACCCACCCTGCCGCCTATGCACCGTACTATTTCTGGATTCCCTTCAGACCCCTCGCCTGCGCGGTACCTTGCATAGCTCTTCGGCTCTGAGGGCCTCAGAACGGCGCCTATGCATCATCCTCGTCAAATAATGCTATGCGCGCGCACTCCTTTACCAAGTACCATGCGTTTGCAACCATCCCTTGCGCAAAATGGGCCGAAGAGAACACGCGTCGTCGCACGCGCATGCCGAACTCTTGCAAACACCATCGGTCTCCTAGGGAATTCAACGCCGAGTGTCCCGAAAACATATAAACACCTGGATTTGCAACCTGCTTTGCTGTCGTCGCAGGCTGGACTCCCTTCAGGCCCCTCTCCAGCGCGGTACCTTGTACAGTTCTTCGGTTCAGAGGGCCGAAAAGCTACGCACCGTGCCAGTCCCAGGCATTCCCAGGTCGAGGAGGATAGACAACACCTCGTGAGACGCCAGCGCGGCCCGGTGCTCACAAATTGTCCGTGGAGAAGGCCCCTGGCATTCTGAGAAGCTTCCCGAGCCTTCTCCGAGGCCGCAGAGGGAATCTCAGAAGGCCATACGACTTCTGAAAAGCCCCGCCGCCCTCTGCCAAAGCCTGGCCCCTCTCGGACGCCAGGCGGCTTCTGGGTCACAGCTCAGCTTTCCCGTGGCCGTTCGGAGCGATCCCTACACCCCCAGGAATTTCTCGGCGAGGCGCAGCCGCTGAAACGAATTCCGAGTTTGGGAAACTGTCGAGGATCGGTGAAAATGTGAGAAGAAGTTGAACCTCGAACCTCGAGCCTCGAAACTCGAACCTCGAACCTCGAACGTCAGAAAAAGTTGAAAACATGAGAAGAAGTTGAATCTCGAACCTCGAACTTCGAACCTCGCCGCCTTCTGGCCAGGCCTGCACCCTCTGCCCTCCTCGGCGGGCGCGCCAACAAGCTGGACACGCAGCGCGCGCACCGCGGGGCGGGGTCGGCGTCCATGCCTCCCTGGGCAAACCAAAGGGGGGGGGCGTATGTACGTCAGGTTCGTGTCGTGCCGACTTCGGCGTTGATTTCTGACACCGCGGGGGTCGTTCAACCTTGAACGATCGGCCGTTTCCGAAGCGTCCAAATCGTTCCACATCGAACGACTCTGGGTCGCCCGCGGCGTTCAAAATTGAACGCCGCTGGCGGGGTCGCCGCCAGTCGACAAGACACGAACCTACCGTACACCTTGCCATCGCTCGGACGCCCCTTATCCGTGCACTCTTCGGTTCCGCGCGTGGGCTCTTCCGCTAGCCGATCCGCGATGCTCACAGATGGTCCGGATGCTCTGGCGCTGGCCTCGCCGAAGCAGAATGCAAATGCCCGAGCGACGCCGAGGCACCGGACCTGGGCCCAGCACGGAGCCGGCCAGGACTGACGAGGCGTCCAGCTGCCGCCCCACGGTCGGAGAGGAAACGGCAGGCCACAGCTCTGCCACACTTCTGGGGGGTGGGGGGACAGAAGGGCACCGATACAGCTTCTTCCTCCTCCTCCTCCTCCTCCGCCGCCTCCTCCGCCTTCTCCTCCTCCTCTCCTCCGCCTCCTCCTCCTCCTCTCCTCCTCCTCCTCCTGCTCCTTCTCCTCCTGCTCCGGCTACTCCACGGCCCTCTCTTGGGGCGCGCTCTGGCGAGACCTTCGAGGCGAAAATCCAGCCGTGGCGGCGAGGGAAGGGTATGTGGCGGCATCGGTGCCCTCTCCCCCTCTGACAGCACGGGGGAACCACAAAAACTGCGCAGGCCTGAACGCTGGGAGATCCGCGCGGATGTTTTTCTTCGGCGCGGAGCAGCCCTCCCCTGGCGCGCCGTGGCGAGGACCTCGACGGCGAGGGGCGGGGCAGCGGCATCGGGAAGAACCACAAACTGTGGGCAGGCAGGACCGCTCGGAGGTCCGCGCGTTTCTTTTTTTGTTTGCATCGGCGCGGGGCAGCCCTCCCTGGCGCGCGGAGCGCGCCAGGGGGGCGGCGCTGGAGGCGACGCCAGGGGAGGAGGGGCCCAGCGCCGATCCAAGACCTCGGCTCAGAGCTCCGAAAGCGGCTGCGCATGCGTCCACGAGCGCAGCGACAGGCACGCCATGTCATGCCCTGACACACTGTTCATAGGGGGATGAGGACGAGAAGGGAGGGGGGGAGTGCGGTGCGCGTCCACATGCCAAGCATCCGAAGGTTTTGACACATAGGCTAAACATCCAAGAGACGACTGTTCACAATCTCCCCTTCCTGGTGACCCCACTCCTTGGACAGCTTCTGAGGGGAGGCCTCAATTGAGCCTCTGCAGCCCCTCGCGCTGATAATTAGTCAAAGGAGGGAGAAGGAGGAGGAGGAGGAGGAGGAGGAGGAGGAGGAGAGAGGAGGAGGAGGAGAAGAGACGAGGACGAACACGAGGAGGAGGAGGAGGAGGAGGAGGAGGGGAGAGGAGGAGGAGGGAGGAGAGGAGGAGGAGGAGGAGGAGGAGGAGGAGGAGGAGGAGGAGGAGAAGGAGGAGGAGGAGGAGGAGGAGGAGGAGGGGGAGGAGGAGGAGGAGGAGGAGGAGGAGGAGAAGGAGGAGGAGGGAGGAGGGAGGAGGGAGGAGAACAGATCCCCCAGAAAACCCTCGTGACTGCAATGTAGGCGCATTTCTCATGAGACGTATGCTGAGCTGCAGCTGGCGACACGCGAACGCGCTGCAGTCAAGACAACGACTCAGAAACGAATCGTCTAAGAACATTGGGCGAGGCTTGACCTACGCCCTTGCAAACAGAAACACAGCTCGGCTGGCCATGCCCTGGGATAACTATCTGGGCCGGGGGTCACAGATCGTGGAACAACGAGGCTACAGATTCCGCCTCGCTCTCTACGTCGCCCTGGGCATCGCCTCCTCCCTCTTTCCAGAACACATATATCTGCCCTTGCCGCTCCGTGCGACACCCGCCATCCTGTCCTGGCTCCGGCCAGCACCCCGGTTTCTGCCAGGCGAGGCCCGCTCGGGGAACCTCCGCCCAGAAATCGGCCAGGCCGATGCGCTCCTCGACGGGAAACGCTCCGAGTGACATGCCCCCAGGCTTCAAGAGCGCAGACACTGCATGCGGCAGCGCGGCGCCCAACTGATGGCTGTAGGTACACTCCGCAAAGAGGACCACATCCCAACATCCCAAGCCCGCTTCGCTCATGCCGCTGGCAGTGGCAAAGTCCAGTCGTCTCACAGACAGGGATTGGGCTGCAGCAGGACTTATTTGCTGGGCAGCGCTTCGCACGTTCTGGAGCACCAGGCGGTTGATGTCGGACGCAACCACTTTGGCTGCAAAGTTGGACGCAACTAGCGATGGGATCCCAAGACCACAAGCAAGTTCCAGCACACTCTTTCCGACTAGCATCCCACGATGAGCGAAAATAAATGACGCCAGCTGGTGCGCTGATCTCCAGGAGCGACCCCCTGTGCACTGAAGAATTTCTCTCAATCGAAATTCTAAATGGTCTGGGAATGGCTGCCTGCTGTCTTCAACAGCATCTTCGAAGGACGCCACAAAAAAGTATTCACGATCACGAAGCTCACAAGAGTCTGATTTTTCCTCGCGCCTGAGCATCACGTTCACTTTCTGTGCACACCAGTGCTCGCCATCTGCGCTGTGGCAATGAAGGCAGTTCATGCCACTGGTTGACACGTCCCACCCTATCCCCCTCCTGGAGGAGGAGCAGGAGCAAGTGAGGAGGATGGGAACTGGAATAGGGATAGGGTTGCTCAAACAGAAGTATTCATGCTCCCATCCCCATTCTCCTGGGGGGAGGAGGAGGAGGAGGAGGAGGAGGAGGAGGAGGAGGAGGAGGAGGGGGAGGGGGAGGAGGACAAGCTAGGTGCGCTCGCGTCATATCTGACGTCCTACCCCTCCCCCCATCCCTTACCATGGCGCTGACTTTCTCCATCCGCGGACGCGTGTCGTAGCGGACCTGTGGCTCCGCGCGCGCGTGCGTAGTGGGTGGTGGTGCGCGTGCGTGCGTGCGTGCGTGTGTGCGTGGTTGTGGTGGTGGTGGTGGTGGTGGTGGTGGTGGTGGTGGTGCTGTGCTGCTGTGGTGGTGGTGGTGGTGGTGGTGTGGTGGTGGTGGTGGTGGTGTGGTGTGGTGGTGGTGGTGGTGGTGGTGGTGGGTGGGTGGTGGTGGTGTGGTGGCGCGGTGGTGGCGGGCGGATGGGCGCGCGAGAAAGAGGCCCGCGCTGGGGCGAGAACGCCATCCTGAACGACGGAGGCCAAACACCGATCCGAAAATGAGGCCCACGCTGCAGCGGGAGCACGATTCGGAACGATTCGGGAGCAGAAATGAGGCCGGCGCCTCAGCGAGAGCAGCATTTTGAAAAAAACGCAGGCGAAAACCCGTTTCCCGGGAATCCTGTGTAAAAAACAATACGCGGGGGGTGTCGGATATCTTCGGGACGCCATCAGGGGAAGTGGGAGAGTATTTTCATATTGTGCAATTGTGGAGGAGGAGGAGGAGGAGGAGGAGGAGGAGGAGGAGGTGGAGAGAGACAGAGGGATTGTAATAGTTATCCAAGACATCAAGTGTCTTTAGCTGTTCCAACTGGGTTCCCTGGAAACCCCGACCCTTTCCCCAAATCCAATGCTCATCCCGAACTGTTTGTTCGGCCCCCGGGCCGCACGAAAGCCCCCAGAGGCCACAGGCCACAGCCGTAATCTTGTCACGACGCGAGCATGAGGGGGATTGGGGCCCAGGTATAACACGCTCTTGAGCCCTGCAGCAGCGCGGCCTGAGCCCAAAGGGCTACTGACGGCAGCTAGCCGTGCCAGACTTGCGGTCACGGGCCCATGCAGGCGCAGAGGGGGCAGGCAACTGAGCAAGCTTCCTGGCAGTTGTGGAAGAGAAGCTGGGTCAAAATTGAGAGCGCAGGTGTCCCAATGATCGGCGCAACTATCACTCCCACCAGCCCTGTGGGCGCAGGTAGTCTATCGACGTAATCCCTTCCTCTTACAAAACCCTCTCTTTCGGGGATGGGTACCCTCCCCCTCCCCTCCCTGAGGTTGCTTTGGCACGGTGGCGACGGATTAGAGCGCCCAAGAGGGCCTCCGATGCTCCAGTGTTGCCTCCAAGATGGCTCAAGATAGCCGAGGATGGTTCAAGATGGCCTCCATCATGCCGCCAAGAGGGCCCCAGGGAGCCACACAATGGTTCCACATGATCGGCGCAACAATTGATTCGCATGGCGAGTTGAAACAATAATTGCAGGTCGGCGGAAACCACGATACGTGCGCCTTGATCTCTATCCACGTGACCGCAATCCCAACCAATGAGCATATTTGAAAGGGCCCACTGACAGGAGACGCCTCCAGTCCCACAGCTTCCCCATAATCAGAAGCCTCCAAACCCTTAGGCTCACATCGGAGACATCGCCAAATCCTTGAGCGCAGGGGTGGACAAGCACAGTGATGGACAAAAACACGAACACGCCCTCATGCCCCCTGATTCTCATCATCCTCCCCTCCTTTCCCCCCATCTCATGAATGAGGACGCCCTCAGCAAAGCACACCAGCCATCTTGGCGAGGGTGGTTGATGGGATCAGCTCTTCCGAGCCTTCTTCTTCAACTTGGCGAGGGGTTACCCCACCTCACCCCCCACACCCCATCCCACCCCACGTCGCATGACTTCGCCCCCCCCGCCTAACGAAGCCTATGAGGGGCCTCTTGGTGGCTGTCTTGATGCCTCTCGGGTGCATCTGGGGGGCAGCTTGACAGGGCCTCTGGGAGCCTCTGGGTCTCTGGGGGCCAAGTTGGCGCCAAGGTCGATGGGCTCTGTTGGCCCGCGCTGGCCTTCTTTACGACTGGGAGAGGCTGGGGGCCCTCATGGGGCACTCTCGGGCCTCTGATGGGGGCCCTCTGGGGGGCCTCTGGGGCCGCCTAGGGCCCGTTTTGGAGGCTCTCTCGGGGCTCTGTGTAGGCCCTCTCGAAGCCATCTGGACGCCTCAAGAGCCCTTCAGGAGCACAAATGCGGTATGACAGATGTCATGAGCTTTGAATGGGCAGTACTTGCATGAGCTCTGCATGAGATTTGCTCCGACCTCCTCCCCCGCCCTCCTCTATTGTCATGTTTCCCGCCACTTGTCTACTGCCTCTTGCCTCCTGCTTCCCAGTTGCGTTCGCTGCTGCCCAGGTGCTGCAAACTGCGCAACTGTCGCCACTCTCGTGGGCTCCTGGGAGGCCCAGCACGGCGATGCCCCACGCAATCGCTGCTCCCCGGGTGCTGCCGACTGCGCAACGATCACCCCTTTCGTGGGCTCCCGTGCGCAGGCCCGCAACCACGCGGGCGCAACATGTTTTCGGGAAGCGGGAGGAAGCGACCCGCGGATCGACCTGGCAGAGCAGGGTGCTCTTCGGGGACGTCCGAGACGGGGGCATCCGAGACGGAAGCATCCGAGAGGGGGGGTCCGCAACGCATGGCCCGAGGCACGTGCGCGGCCCAGCAGGGGGGAGGGGGCCAGGGATTGCACTGAGGCAAGAAGCGGGGGCCATGGAATCCAGGAAGATCTCATGGCCCCGCCATGAGATCCACTCCCCCCAGTCGTCGGGCTCGGGCGCGGGCTCGGGGTTTGGCTCTGGGTCGGGCGCTGGCCAGGGCTCGGGCTCGGGCTGAGTCACCCCCCTCGTGGCCACCCCCAAGATCTCTCTCGACCTCCGGACCCTGGGATCCGACGTTGCGAACAAAAATTCAGCATCGCGGAAAACTCACGGCGGGAGCCCCAGCCGCCACCTTTCTGCGGCATCTTCCCAGCAGGCATCGATAAGTGATTCGGCGACTCCGAAAGGTGTGGTTTGCTAAGGTTGCAACCCGCGCCTGGGAGAGGCGGGGGAGGACCTCGACAGATCTCCGCCACGCCCCGACGAAAGCCCATCGAAGCTCTGGCGTAGCGCGGCGACCCCCTGAGCCCCAACGGCGCCGATCGCAAGCCACACCCCGTCGCAACTACACCCACTGGGGAAACCGAGATTGCCGCTTCTCCCACACCGAGGAGGAGGAGGAGGAGGAGGAGGAGAAGGAGGAGGAGGAGGAGGAGGAGGGGAAGGATGGGGAGGAGGGGGAGGAGGAGGAGGAGGAGGGGGAGTACCCCCGCCCCCCGTGGCAGGCCCGAGGCGCAGGAAAGCTGCAGCGCCGTCAGGCCCGAGCGCGGCAGCGGCGAGCTCAGGCCCAGGCCGCGGGCGGCCTTTGGCTTCCCTGGGGCTTTGCAGCGTCGTCCGCACCTTGCGTCTGCATGTCCGGGCTCCGCAGCTGCCCGCGCGCCCTCCCGTGTTCCGCTGCGTCCTTGCTCGTGTGGACACCGCGCAGGCCTGACGAAAGCTCGAGAGCTCCCTTCCAGTTCGGGGATGGACAGAACCCCCTTTAGTAAAACGTGGTTTAGTGAAAACGACCTGAGGCCCAAATCTGGCGGGCGCAAGCCTGGAAAATGACGGCCACGGCGTCCTCTCGAGAACCGAAAACGGACAATTCACTAATCGACGTGTCACTGTTGGGGGTTCTGTCCAGCCCCGACCAGTGTGGCCTCTCCCGGGCGCGTTCTGACCAGGATTTCAAGGCGAATCCAGCGGCAGGGACGAGGGCCGCCCAGGAGGCCCATGAGGGGGCAAACGAGGCGGGGGCAGCAGCATCGGTGCCCCTTCCTCCTGGGATCCACTGCAGTCGCCAGGGCATGGCCTGGGGGCCCGAAACCCTCCTCCTCCTCCTCCTCCTCCTCCTCCTCCTCCTCCTGCCTCCTCCTCCTCCTCCTCCTCCTCCTCCCTCCTCCTCCTCCTCCTCCTCCTCCTCCTCCTCCTCCCCCTCCTCCTCCTCCTCCCCCTCCTCCTCCTCCTCCTCCTCCGAAACTGTTGCGGCGCCTGGCTCTCCGGAGACGGGGGGTCGTGCAGCTGCGGGGAGCGGCCGGCCCGATCCGCCTCTCGGCCCACGGGCGGCGGCAGCAGGATGGGGCGCCGAACGAACGGCGGACCACCGCGGCAGAGAGGCGTCCAAGCCTGTCTCGGACCAGCCGATGATCCTCAGCACGTGTGAGCGCCAACGTGTGCGTTGCCCACTGAGGCCATCCTCTACGACGAAGGCGATGTGATGATCGACCAGTTGGGTTGTGAACGGGATAACCCACACATTGGGCTAATACACGTCCTGGGGATCATCGAACCAGGGGGGGTGAGGCAGTGACCTCCGGAATCTGGCATGCCTGGGCACGCGCGATGCAAGACAGATCAACAAGTCGAAGGAGACGAGGATTTATAGAAAGAGAAAGAGGCAACAACATAATAAAGAATGAGGCAACAAAAACAGCAGAAACCCGCGCAGATGTCTTGCACGGGCGCTGGTGGAACCCCTTCCCTGGCGCGCGCGGGGCGCGCCAGTGGCGTCGCCAGAGGCGCCGCCAGGGGGGGGGGGGGGCAGCGCCGATCCAAGAGATCCGCCGCGCGGACCGTAGAAAGTTTTTGTGTATGCAGATGTCTGGATATTCAACAGGGGGAGGAAAGCGAGGGGGAGGAGGAAAATGAGGAGGAGGACGAGGACGAGGACGAGGAGGTGGAAGAGAGCGCTGCAAGCCCATATCTTGAAGTCCGCCCCACCTAAGGAGGAGGAAGAGGAGGCTCGCTCGCTCGCTGACTGCATATGAAGAGGAGGAGAGAGGAGCCGTGGCCTCTGGATTCTGGCATGATGGGCACATGCAATGCGAGACATATAGAAAGCTAGAAAGAGACGCGCAGGAGGCGGGAGAAGGAGGGAGCAGGGGGGAGAGGGTGAGGGAGCAGGACGAAGATGATGATGAGGAGGAGGAGGAAGTGGAGGAAGAGGAGGAGGAGGAGGAGGAGGAGAAGGAGGAGGAGGGAGAGGGAGGAGGGGTGAGGAGGAGGGGTGGAGGAGGAGAGGAGGAGAGAGAGGAGGGGAGGAGGGAGGCGGCGGAGGACGAGGACAAGGACGAGGAGGAGGAGGAGGAGCCTCAAGGCTGCCCTCGGCGGCGGTGGGCTCCTGTTCGTCGGCAGTGCTCCGCACGTCCCCGCCTGAGCGTCCCGTGGGAGGGGGGCGCGGCGGTAGGCGCGGGGGGGAACCCGGCGGGCGCGGCGCTGGAGAGCCCACCCGCTCAAGCCCGTCGGCTCGCCACTGGCCCCCGTCTTGCCATCCTGGTCCTCCTGCCCCCGCCATCCCCTCTCTCTCGTCCTCTCTCTCGTCCTCTCTCTCGTCCTCTCTTCTCGTCCTCTCTCTCGTCCTCCTCCTCCTCCTCCTCCTCCTCCTCCTCCTCCTCCTCCTCCTCCTCCTCCATTCCTTCTCCTCCTCCTCCTCCTCATCATCCTCCTCCTCCTCCTCCATTCCTTCTCCTTATAGATAACTTCTCCCTGTCGCACCGCGAGGCCAATTGTTAGGGCGGGCCGGGCGTTTCGCCTCCTGAGACTTCCTCACCATTTATGACTATAAAGCTTCAAAAGTGACAACAGCTTCACAGATGGAGGGCGGGTCGCATTCAAAATGTGGCTCTCGCCTTCGCGCCGCGCACATTCGTTTTCAACACGTGCAAGAATTTAACGGATTGAGGGCGGGTCGCTTTCAAAGTGTGGCTCTCGCCTTAGCGCGGCGCACATTCGTTCTCAAAATGTGCAAGAGCTTCACAGATTGAGGGCGGGTGGTTTTCAAAATGTGGCTCTCGCCCTAGCGCCGCGCACATTCGTTGAACAAAAATCACGAATTGAGGGCTGGTCGTTTTCAAAATGTGGCTCTCGCCTTAGCGCGGCGCACATTCGTTTTCAAAATGTGCAAGAGCTTCACGGATTGAGGGCGGGTGGTTTTCACAAAATGTGTCGCTCGCCTCAGGGCCGCGCACAGTCGTTATACAACATTGCAAGAGCTTCACAGATGGAGGGCGGATCGATTTCAAAGTGTGGCTCTCGCCTTAGCGCCGCCTCGTCCTCCTCCTCGCCTCCCATGCAAGTCCCTGAGGTTTTGCACGGGAGCGATTCAAGGATGCTGGGTGAATGCTCCACTGAAAAGTGTTGGAGCCAAACGGGGCTGACAACAACAACCGTTCGACACACATGTGATGCTAAGCTCACCACACAACTGCTAAGCCATGTTCTATCACCCGCGTCGGCCAGCATGGCCAATGGAAACGATTGGGGAGAAAATCTGTAACAGCGAACGGGACGAGGGCGTACGAAATCAAAGCAGGCGTCTGACGATCTTCCAACTCAGCTAAGGTAGCTGAATTACTTAATAGCGCGCTAACCTGCACAGGTAGAAGGCAGCAAAAAAAGTAATGGCGTAAACGTACAGGGGCCTCCAAACACGCGATGCCCTTGTTTATGTGCAGCAGAGTCGAAGTAGCGCAAGGTAGAAACTTCAGCAGGAAGTAGCGGGGAGAAGAGAGAGAAAGTAAAAGATCACCTAGCGGCGGTGATGGCGGCTAACCGACCTGGCCGGCGTGATGGCCCGACCTTCCCGGTAGCCTCCAAGGTGTAGTCAGAGCGAGAGACTGGGCAACGGATAGAACCGCAACAAAATGTTTGGCCGATGATGAGGCCACATCGTGCTCATTGCTATCCAACCAGCACCGGTAGTCGCTCTTCTTGACGCATTCAACACCGCGGCCCACGATGATGTCAACGCGACCCGTCGCTTCCTAGAAGGTGCGATCTGGGTTGCGAAGGTAACTTAAAAACGCAGGGCCACACTCCCGCACGCGGAGTAGAGCCTCGAAAACCTCGAACCTTGAACGTTGCCCGAGGTTCTCTGCCGCCTCCGGGAGAGGAGAAGAAATGGAGGAGGAGGAGGAGGAGGAGGAGGAGGAGGAGGAGGAGGGTGATCGCATATCCAAGCAGTCAAGGCCCTGCAACGCGCGCCGGCGCGGACCCCTGGCGTCCCAGCGCAGCTGCAGGCTGGCGATTGCTCGCGGCCTCTGGGGGGCCCCCCACTGGGCCCCGGGAGCGGCAGAGAGCGGCCGGGGAGGTGCCCCAGAGCTCCCCTCGCGGATACTCTTGGCCGTTTTCGGGGGGAGGAGGAGGAGGAGGAGGAGGAGGAGGAGGAGGAGGAGGACGAGGAGGAGGAGGAGGAGGAGGAGGAGGACGAGGAGGAGGAGGAGGAGGAGGAGGAGGAGGAGGAGGAGGGGGAAGCCCGACTTTTGAGCAGAGCACGGCGCCCGAGGCCTGGGCACGGGAAAAAGACCACACACCACGCCTGGGCCCCCCTTCGGGTGCAGTGAGAACGCATAGTAAGGACGGGTGGCAAGGACGCAAGACTCTTGGAGGCCGAAGTTGGGTTTTTTAGGGCGGCGGGCGACCAGGGATGGTGGCAAGGACGGGCCTCAGAGGCAAGAACACAAGGGTACCCTAGATGAAGGCGCGCGTCCTTACTAGGCGCGTTGAATGTAAGACGAAGCCAGGGCCGAGGCAAGATCAGACTGAAGCAAACTCGGGGCTGGACAGACCCCCCTTCAGTAAAACGCGGTTCCGTGAAAACGACCTGAGGCCCCAAACCTGGCGGGCGCGAGCCTGGAAAACAACGGCCACGGCGCCCTCTCGAGAACCGAAACACGGACAATCCACTAATCGACGTGTCACTGGTGGGGGCTCTGTCCACCCCCGAGACATGCGCGAGGCACTTCCCAGATCCGAAGTGACTCCGGAGGTGCCTCGGGCGCCGCGACCCTTCCGGAGCGCCCCAGGAGCGCTCCGAGATTGTTCCGCCACGCCCTGGAACGAATTTTGTCCCGGCCTCCTCCTCCTCCTCCTCCTCTTCCTCCTCCTCCTCCTCCTCCTCCTCCTCCTTCCGACCGTCGCCACCCGCGTTGCTTCTTCGTTATCTTTCCGACTCGGGCGCAAGCCCATGCGCTGCATGTAGGATGCTGCTCCGCAGGCAGAGAAGGCAGCGCCATGAGCGGCACATGCTGGGAGCGCAAGCGGGCGCGAGGAGAGCGGCAGCGAGGATAAGCAGACGAGGGGGAAAGAGCACTCAGAAGAGCCTTCGGACCTGCATCGTATGCCACAACCTCGGCCACCCCTGTTGCTTCGCATTGAAACCTGGGCTCCAGTTGGACACGCGTTGTCCACCGGCGCGGCGGGTTCTGGGCACGTGCGCAATGCGCTGGCGTCTTGGAGCCGCGGGTTGCTTGCGGAGGCCTCGCATATGCCTGCACAGGCTCCCACGACACCAGTCGACACCACAACCCACGCGGAGAGAGCCCCGCAAAGGCCCCAGATGGCACCAGGAAGCCCCAGTGCCCCCGAACAGAGAACGGCCCAGGACAGCCGGTGACACGTATCCGCTACGACACCCCGAGAGACAGAGCAACTCTACAAATACACGCTATGAATACTGCCCCACGCTCCCCATGACTCCGTCCGGAAGATAGCTAGCCCTCTCCACGCAAGGATAATAAATTTGTGTTGTTTGTCATCTACAGACAAACAACATTCGGCGTTTCAAGCGATGGTTCTCGGTGATTCAAACTGGGGCTCCCGCTGCAGCGTGGACCTCATGTTCGGATCGGGGCTGTGCTCCCGTCGCTCAGAGTGGCGCTCTCGCCCCAGCGCGGGCCACTTCTCTGGATCCGACTTCTCTTTCATTGATATCGCACACCTCCATTACCCTCCTCCACCTTCCCCTGCTCCTCCTGCTCCTCTCGTTCCTTCCAGATCCTGCTGCTTCGGTTCGTCCTCTTTCTACTACTTCCTCTTCCTCCTCGTTTTTCTCCTACCCATCCGCCAGCTCACCCGCCACCGCCTCCCGTGGGGAAACCAAAAGGTACCGATACCGCTACTACCTGGACATCTCCCGGTGTACATTCTAACCAGAGTTCCGAGGCGAACCCAGCGGTGGCGACGGGGGCCTCCCAGGAGGTCCCCCGCGTGGGGAAAACGAAGGCAAGGTAGCAGTACGGACACCTTTTCCTCCTCCGATTCTCCTCCTCCCTCCTCCTCCTCCTCCTCCTCCTCCTCCTCCTCCTCCTCCTCCGTAGCCGTTCTGGCTCCTCCTCCTCCTCCTCCTCCTCCTCGTGGTCCTCCTCCTCCTCCTCCTCCTCCCTCCTCCTCCTCCTCTCCTCCTCGTCCTCCTCCTCTCCTAGTCCCTCCTCCTCCGTAGTCCTCCTCCTCCTCCTCCTCCTCCTCCTCGTCCTCCTCCTCCTCCTCCTCCTCCTCCTCCTCCTCCTCCTCCTCCTCCTCCTCCTCTGGCTCCGGCCACTCTGGCTCGAGCCCCTGCGGGGCCCGAGGAGGCCCTTCGCGCCGCGGAGCCACGTCGCCGGGATCGGGAGGCTCCTCCTGCCACACCGGGTGCTCGCCGGGAGCAGCATCGCCAAGGAGCTCGGGGCCCTCGAGAAGCAGCAGTGCAGGAGTACAAGGGTCGAGGAGGAGGAGGAGGAGGAGGAGGAGGAGGAGGAGGCCACGCGTCTGGAGAAAGAAGGCAACGATCATGCTGATGATTGGGCACGGTGGATGGCCCAGCGTGCAAGGATCCCCGAGAGCCTTCGCGAGGCTCGCCAAGCCAAGGCCCCTGTTCTCAAGCAGTGGGCCAGGTGGGTTGCCACGGTCGGGCCCCGCGTGTGCGATTTAGACTGTGTGCACGTTCCTGCCAGGCAGCGCAGCAGTGCCAGCACGAAGCCCTATGTGCCGAGCGTTGCTATTGTGCCGCCACCGCCAGTCGTGCCCCGAGCCGTCTCTCGGGCAGATCTCGCGCAGGTGCGCGTAGCTCTCGCAGGAGGACGGGAGCACATCTTGCATCCTTTCCAGGTCGGGGGAGTGGGCGAGCGTGTGTGGTGCGTTGTGTGCTGTGTGTGTGTGTGTGTGTGTGTGGGAAGGGGGGCGTCCAAATGTCTGCTGACCTGTCGGCCGCTTGCCCAGGTCCGCCACCTCCCGCCTCGTGGGGAGCTCGCGTGCTCGCGAATCTTGCGCGCGAGCCCGCGCGCTTCTCTATCAACAAGAAGTGGTGGCTTCTCATCCAGCCCTTCAAGACGGGCCAGCTGGTTCGTGCGGGCCTCGGAGCCTCCTCGTCCTCCGCTGGGAGAGGCCAGAGAGGCTAACTCGTTTTGTTTCTCTTTGTCCGCGGGGCGTGGCGAAAGGCGGTTGCAAGGTGCGCCCTTAGCCACGCGGTTCGGCTTCGGCTCGGCCGTGGCGTCGGTGGTGTCGGCACCACGCGCCCGAGCCTCGGCGGCGGACACTCGTGTTCGCCCTTCGGTCTGCGTCGAGGGGGAGTAAGACAAGGAGGAGGAGGAGGAGGAGGAGGAGGAGGAGGAGGAGGAGGAGGGGGAGGAGGGGGAGTATGAGAAGGAGAAGGAGGAGGAGGAGGAGGAGGAGGAGGGGGAGGAGGAGGACAAAAAGGAGGAGGAGGAGGAGGAGGAGGAGGACAACAGTCGGAACGTAGCCACAACAACGTGGGCTCGAGAGCACGAGCCCCGTCGCCGGAGGCCCAAGGTGCGACGGAGATGTCCCAAGCGAAGGTGGAACGCCCGGGCACGAGGAGCCTACAGCCAACCCGTATAGCAGGGACGCACGATAAGAAGGCAAGTGCTTTCTAGGGCCATGTCGGCACCTCTCGGGGAGACTTAAGACTCGGGCACGGGGGACGGGAAAATGACCACAGCCACTGTTTCTTGTTTGCGCCGCCTTCCAGCCGGCCGAAAAAGAAGCAGTGGTTGTGGTCATTTCCCTGGTGCCAAGCTTAACGAAAATGACCACAACCACTGCTTTGTTTCTGCTGGCTGGAAGACGGCAACAAAAGAAAAGCAGTGGCTGTGGTCGTTTTCACGTCCCGTAGGTACGGGGGACTCGGGTTGGCCTGACGGGGCCATCATAAAGACGACGAGACCCAATCAGAAATTTGACGCGAGCTCCCACTGCAGCCATCCCACGAGAACTGGACCGTCAAAACCCAGGACGCGATCGTCAAAAAACGTCGGCAAACCCGAAGTCCCGCTTACTCGAGTCTTACGCTTCCCCGAACCTCCTGAGCGGGGCGCGGCCAGCGAAAGCGTCCAAGAATCAACCGAAGGGGAAGGATGCCAGGGCAGCCTTGGTAGGGGGCCACATGCGAACCCTACCCCTACCCCCCACGATTTTTGAGGAGGAGGGTGGGGTTCACTTCGTTCGAGAGCTCCCGAGCGAAGTGAACCCCACCCTCCCCCTCAAAAATCGTGGGGGGTAGAGGTAGGGTTCGCATGTGGCCCCCTACTGGGAGAGTGGCTCATCCTTGGATGGAAGGGTGCCGCTCCAAAGCTTGGGTTCCTCTCAGCCCTCGTGCCGGCGTTACGCCGAGGGTGTGCTCACAGTGCAGGTGCTCGGCATTGGCGATGAAGAACGAGACCATGTACAAGGGTGACAACCTACCAGACCACCCCAACCCAACCCGAAGACCCGAATTTCGGGTTGGGGGGGGTACGGGTTCCATACGTGTTTTTTCGATGCTCCCTGGCCCCCCCCACTGGAAATGGAGGGCAAATTGGGGCCTTCGGGTTGGGTTGGGGTGGTTTGGTGGGTGGTGAAAGGGGGTGGACCAAGAGATCAGCGAGCTGAGCGACAGGAACGAAGAGGCCACGTGGGACCCGTAACTGGTCAAGGGTGTGGGCGTGGGGGAGTCGCAGAATTTCGCAGCTGCCCGCGAAAACGAACCGTTGGTCGAGGTCGCCTCCCATCAAGACGAAGAAGGTGGTGCAGGAGCCCATCTCCGCAGTAGACAAGGAGGCAGCGATTCGCAAGACCTCTCAAAGCTGAAGGAAGTGGAGAGTTTCAACATTGCCTCGAAGACTTGGTGGTGGGCGACACTCACCAGTATTTTCTCGACAAGTCGCTCTCAGGATGGAGGCGTGTGGCTGCTGGACTTGGTAACTCTGCTGATCATCCTGATGATGATGATGATGATGATGATGATGATGATGATGATGATGATGATGATGAGAAGGAGGAGGAGGAGGAGGAGGATATCCCAACGGATAAGGCTGACAACTCTGAGGTGCACAGGATCCGTTTGCTGAAGCTCTGTGCGCAGTCGGCGGATTCGTAGACGAATAGCACCTCGCGACCATCTCTCGTGACAGCGACCAGGTGGATAGCCACAAGCAGCAAATTGAGGCGTGCAGCTTGGACAAGTCAGACGTTCTCAGTTGTGTTTCTCACCGAGAAGCGAAGGCGAAGCAAAAGCCTGGCTGGGGGCCCAAGGCAAAGGCCATGTAGGAAGAGGATACTGGCAGTGCAGGCGGAGTGGCTTATTCGAGCAGCGAACTTGAAGTGCAGCCGTCTTCTGACAAGCAGTTCGAGTAGATGGTTGGGCATATCCTCGACCTCACCGGCAGCGACGCGACCAAGGGGATGAAGGCCAGCGCCATCCAGGACGCAGCGTCCCTCCTTGGAGCACCGGCGGGGGGAGGATAGTTTGGAGTCGTCCACGAAGTTGGCCACGCCGCCGTCGACTTTGAGGCTCGCTGAGGGGGTTCCGGGTCTCAGACTGCTTCGAGCCTCGAGCCCTTTTCCCTGCAAGAGCGAGCGCTGCACAGTCGCGCGAGGAGGCTGCCCGGCACCGCGCGCGGACCCCGCGCGCGAGACCGCCGCCGACGCGTCGTCCTCGTCCTCCTCCTCGCTCCCGCCGTTTGGGGGGATCTCGGTTTGCGCTTGGCACTGCCTTCGGGTGGTTGGGGGGCCTCGTGGGGCCGCGGCCAGAGGCCTTGCAGCCCTGCGGCCACCGTGGTGGCGATCGGCTGAGACCAGCCGTGGGTTCGGCGCTCGGGCTGCGCGCCGGGGAGGAGAGACCCGTCGTCTCATTAGATCCCTCCTCCTCCTCCTCCTCCTCCTCCTCCTACTACTCCTCCTCTTCCTCCTCCTCCTCCTCCTCCTCCTCCTCCTCCTCCTCCTCCTCCTCCTCCTCCGCCTCCTCTGTACGCAGCGCGGATGTAGAAAAAAGGGGAGGACGGGCTAGGATGACAGATGCGGCGCGAGCGCTCCTAGCTTGCTGCGACACTGGACACGGAAGTCCAAAGGTCAAGCACGCAGACGGCCCAAGACCTAGTTTGCCTTCCCCTGCTCTTCGTCCTCCCCCTCCCCGTCGACCTCCCCCCCCCCTCGAGCTCTCATTTCCATCTGCAAAACTCCGACAGCCGTTCGAAGACAACCGCAAGCGTTCGACGACCTTCCGAACACCTCTGCCCTCCTTTCGACAACAAGGTAGGGAGGTCGCAGTCCTGCATCATGCCACTACTGCGCTAACATGCAGAATTGTCTGTCCTTTCTCCGTCTCCTCCTACCTTCTCCTCCTTCTCCTTTTCCTCCTCCTTCTCCTCACCCTCCCCCTCCTCCCCCTTCCCCTCCCCCTCGCCCTGACCCCTCCCTCTCCGCTTTCTTCGATGCTCCTCCGCCTCCTCCTACCTTCTCCTCCCCATCCTCCTCTCCCTCCTGCTCCTCATCATCCTCCTCCTGCTCATCATCATCATCATCATCATCATCATCATCATCATCACCATCATCACCACCACCGCCATCATCATCATCATCATCATCATCATCATCATCATCATCATCATCATCATCATCATCATCATCATCAGCATCATCAGCAGCAGCATCACCACCACCATCATCACCATCATGATCACCATCATCACAATCATCATCACCATCATCAGCCTCAGCATCAGCAAAATCGGAATCATCATCATCATCAGCAGCATCATCATCATATCCATCATCATCAGCAGCATCATCATCAGCATGAACATCAACAGCAGCAGCATCGCAATCATCATCATATAACCATCATCAACATCAATTGCAGTATCATTACCATCACCATCACCGTCTCCATCACCATCATCAGCATCGTCACCGTCATCAGCACCATCATCAGCATCATCATCATCACCATCATCATCATCACCACCATCACCATCCTCCTCCTCCTCCTCCACCTCCTCATCATCATCACCGCCATCACCGCCATCATCGTCATCATCATCATCATCAGCATCAGCATCATCATCATCATCATCATCATCATCATCACCACCACAAATATCGGGGAGACGTAAGACCCGGTTACGGGGGACTCGGAAATCCCCGACGAGGTCGTCAAAAAAATGACGAGGCCGAGCCTGCATTTTGACGAGGTCTCCCGCTGCAGACATCCCACGAAACTCCCCCTCGTCAAAATCCGAGGCGCGGTCGTCAAAAAACGATGGCGAAACCGAGTCCTGGCAAACCCGGGTCTTACGCTCCCCCGAAAATATCATCGTCAGCCTCCTCGTCATCCCACTCATCGTCATCGCCATCGCCGTCGTCCCCGTCGTCGTTAATAACCTCCTCCTCCTCCTCCTGCTCCTCCTGATCCTCCTCCTCGTGCTCCTCCTCCTCCTCGTCCCCTCCGCACCCTTCGGCTACACGCAAGAGTGACCCTGGGTAAGAGTGACCTCTGGTGCGCGGGCTTCTTGGGGGCCGCGGGGGGGCCAGCAGCAGGTGCGCAAGACGCCACTGCGGTGCACCAGTGGGCCCGCACCAGAGGTCACTCCGGCGAAAGGTCACTGTGCCCTACCGGCCCCCGCGAGCGAGCGCGTGCGCGCCCGAGTACTGCCGCGTGCTCTGCCCGGGCGACGAGGGCTGGCGCGTGCTCGTCAGCGAGTCCTCGGAGGGGCACACCTCGCGCGCGGCAGGGGCGGCGGCCTCGCGCCCCTGCCGGAGGCGCGCCGACAGCGCCGAAAGCGCCGACGACGGACGACGACGACGACGATGGCGCAAAGGACGACGACGACGACGATGGCGCAAAGGACGACGACGACGACGACGACGACGACGACGACGACGACGACGACGACGACGACGACGACGACGACGACGACGACGACGACGGCGGCGGCGGCGGCGGCGGCGGCGGCGGCGGCGGCGGCAGCGACGACGACGGCGGCGGCGGCGGCGGCGACGTAAACGACGACGACTACGACGGCGGCGGCGGAGACGGCAGGAGGAGGAGACGGCAGAAGGAGGAGGAGGGAGGAAAAGGATGAGGAGGCGAGGACGACGAGGAGCAGGAAGAGCAGCAGGAGGACGGAGGAGGAAGAGGAGGAAGAATGAGGATGGACGAGGAGAGCGGAGGCGCGCCTGGTGCTCAACACGCCGCGCCCATTGGCAAAGCCAAATACAACACAGGCAAGCTGCGAGAAAAATAATGAGCGAAGCCCCTCTGTGGGCTCCAGAATCCAATAGGTGCACGCGGAGCGCCAGAGGAACAGCTATGAAGGGGCCTCAGGAACAGCGAGCCCCTTCCGAACCCAGCATGTTCCTCACTTCAGCGCCTTGACTTGATGTATCGCGACCAGTGCCCCAGGGGAGAAACAGCGACAATGATGAAAATACGATCGACCTTGGGCTACACACTACGGAGTCAGCAAAGGAGGGAGAGCGGGAGGAGGTCCATGAATGAAGACATCCAAGTGGACACACGACCCTTGCGAGAGCAGCTGCAAAGATAATCACTGACTCATACATGCAAGCAATATGGAAGGGATCGAAAGGACATGAGGGTGCGCTTCATGTTGCAGGCTCGGCCGAGCTTTGGACCAGATCGAGCGGGAACACCCTAATAAGTCTCATTTCTGGATCTGGGAGGGCTGAAATCCAACCAAAGCACAATAACGAGCCCCATTTCTTAACCAAGTCGAGGCAGAACACTGGAGTGATTCTGGGTTCTGGACCTGCGAAGACCGAAGGTCGATCCAGAGCACCGTAGCAGGTCGACTGCAGGCCGAGCCAGAAAACCATCACGAGCTAAGCTTCTGGACCAGATCGAGCCAGAACACCATAGTGAGTTCCATGTCTGGGCCGAAACGAACCAGGACACCATGGTGAACGCTGCTGGAACATGCTGCCGGGCCGCTGCTGAGCCGGGCCTGGGAGACCCCCCCCGCCTGGCCCGCTCCCGTGGAGATCCTGGTGGGAGAACTCTTGATCTCCATTAGACCCGTCTAGCGAAGCGCTACTGAGGAAAAATGGCCGAGGCTTTCAGAGTCCGAAGAAACGATGCAGCCACGAGAATCCCAGCAGGGGTGCAAGATAATCCTCCCAGCGCCGATTGGACCAGCAGGAGCGAGGCTCGCAGTTGGCCGCAGACTCCCGCCCCCCGCTCGGACCGCTGGGTGCTGCGAGGGCACCGGCTGGAGCGCCAGCATCACCTCGTTCATCTTCTCGCAGTCGAGGTCCTGCGGGGAACGAGGGGGGTGGGACATACACTAGGGACCCCACAAAGGACGCACGCGCCCAGCTATGTACATGAACGCGGCCCCCTGACCCGCGAGACCTGCCGCGTGATACGAACATTCGTGCAATGCGAACTCTCGAAAACAGCGTGGATTCATGTACGTGTACGTCCTTCTTTCGCTCCTGAGTACACGGGCATACCAGTACTGTGTGTCCTCCTCGACGGCGTGCGTCCGAGCGGGACACATCGTGGAACTGTGATATCATATACCGTTTCCCGAGCGGCGCAGCCAGCAAGCGCCCGCCACGAAGCAGACACTCGAGGATTTCTCGACGCGCGCGCGCGTCGCCCCGGGAAGGGAGACGCGCACACAAAGTAGTACAGTCGGGGCGTTGACCCAAGGAACCCTAAATAAGGAACGAGGCCCCTTTTCTCCATAGGTTAGCCTTCGATTTCCTGTCGAAAACCTAAGGAAAGCCTGAGGCAAGCTGCGAAACACTTAAGGAACGCGGAGCCCCTCCCCAACGAAAAGGGTTCCTTCTTCAGGGCCCCGACTGGAGTATGTCGGGGTGACGCCGAGCGGGATTATGTGGGGAGGCAACTCCTGGGAGGTCTGCGTAAGAACGATGAGGGGCTGTCAGGCCCGACGAGGGCACCAATCAGGCCAGGTTGCGCCAGATTGTGCCCATTATCAAGATTAGGCCAGACTCAGCGAGATAAAGCGAATTCGACCAGGACGATTCCGGATGAGACCAGTTTTCGACAACGGATATACCAGCGCCGATGCTCAACTTAACCTCCAAGGAGTCCAGGAGTTGTATCCTAAGGATGTCCAAGAGTTGTATCCTAAGGAACTTGGGGCCCTGCAAGAGCAAAACACTGCATAAACTTACACGAGATTTTGCGGAGAGCTTTGCGGAGATTTCTTGGATCGACGCCGGACCCCCCTCCCTGGCGCGCGGAGCGCGCCGCAGGCGGCGCCCGAGGCGGCGGCGGGGGGGCCCAGAAGCCGATCCAAGAAATCCGCGCGGAGCGTCGAAAACTTCTGCTGCTGCGGGTTTTCATCATTTTATCAATGCGGGTCCCGCTTCTCTTCCGCAGCCTCCAGGAACCTGGCTCAGTTGCCTGCCCCCTCTGCGCGTGCACGTGCCTGTGCGCGCAAGGCTGGCTCAGGCTGCTGCCGTCCGCAGCCGTTCTGGCCTGGGCCGTGCTGCTCCGAGGCTCAGGGACGCCTGCAGATTCAGTAGGAGAACGACCACAAGACAACTTCCACAAAAAAAAACAACCCTGAGACCCCCACAGGACGTCCATTGATGTTTGGTGTGGGAGCGTCACACCTCTCATCGCAAAACCGTCGAAACCCAAGAAACCCAGGGCACCCTGGAGGGAAGCAGGGTTTCCTGGCATTGGTTTCCACTGTACTAGCACTGCCCCTGTGATACCTGAGAATCACGCCCAGCATCCTTGATGAGCACGCCGCAAGGACAAAGGATACGGCGCCTTGAGTAGCGCCACTGAGCCTGTACTCTCGCGTTGTCGTCACCTACCCTCCTCCTCCTCCTCCCTCCCTCCCTCCCTCCCTCCCCTCCCCTCCCCTCCCCTCCCTCCCCTCCCCTCCCCTCCCCTCCCTCCCTCCCTCTCTTCCTCCCTCCCGACCTCCTTGCCTCTTCATCCTCCTCCTCCTCCTCCTGCTCCCTCATCCCTCCTCCTCCTCCTCCTCCTCCTCCTCCTCCTCCTCCTCCTCCTCCTCCTCCTCCTCCTCCTCCTCCTCCTACTCCTCCTCCCTCCACTCCTCCTCCTCCTCTCCTCCTCCTCCTCCTCCTTCTCTTCCCTCCTTTCTCTTCCTTCCTCCTCCTCCTCCTCCTCCGCCTCCTCCTCCTCTCCTCCTCCCTCTCCTCCTCCTCCTCCTCCTCTCCCTCCTCTCCTCCCCCTCCCTCCTCCCCTCCTCGTCGTCCTCACTCCTCCTCCTCTTCCTCCTCCTCCTCCTCATCCTGCTCCTCATGCCTCATCCTCATCATCATCATCATCATCATCATCATCATCATCATCATCATCATCATCATCATCATCATCATCATCATCATCATCATCATCATCATCATCATCATCATCAATCAGCATCATCATCATCATCATCATCATCATCATCATCATCATCATCATCATCATCATCATCATTATCATCATCATGATCATCATCATCATCATCATCATCATCATCATCATCATCATCGTCATCATCAGCATCGTCTCATCATCATCATCATCAGCATCATCATCATCAGCATCATCATCAGCATCATCATCATCAGCATCAGCAGCATCAGCATCAGCATCAGCACCAGCATCATCACCTTCATCATCATCATCATCATCAGCATCATCATCATCATCATCATCATCATCATCATCATCATCATCATCATCGTCGTCGTCATCATCCTCATCCTCATCCTCATCCTAATCCTCAGCATCAGCAGCATCAGCATCAGCAGCATCAGCATCACCTTCTTCATCATCATCATCATCAGCATCATCATCATCAGCATCACCATCACCATCACCATCATCATCATCACCATAATCAGCAGCATCAGCATCGTCATCATCATCATCAACAACATCAGCATCAGCATCATCATCATCATCAGCATCATCATCATCAGCAGCATCAGCAACATCATCATCATCATCATCATCATCATCACCATCAACATCATCAGCATCATCATCATCATCATCAGCATCAGCGTCGCCATCATCATCACCAACAACATCAGCAGCATCATCATCAGCAGCACCACCATCATCATCATCAGCATCATAATCAGCATAATCATCATCAGCAGCATCATCAACAGCACCATCAGCAGCATCAGCAACATCATCATCATCAGCAGCAGCAGCAGCATCAGCATCATCATCAGCATCGTCATCATCATCATCATCATCAACATAGTCGCCATCAGCAGCATCATCATCATCAGCATCATCATCGTCGTCGTCGTCGACAGCATCATCATCATCATCATCATCATCAGCAGCAACAGCAGCTTCATCATCATCATCATCATCATCATCAGCATCATCATCATCAGCATCAACATCATCATCATCAGCAGCAGCATCATCAGCATCATCATCATCAGCATCATCAGCAGACTCATCAGCATCAGCATCATCATCCTCAGCATCATCATCATCATCATCGTCATCAGCATCATCATCAACGTCAGCATCATTATCATAATCGGCATCATCAACATCAGCATCAACATCAGCATCATCCGCATCATCATCATCATCATCAGCCGCAGCCTCAACATAATCAGCATCATCAATAGCATCACCACCATCAACATCATCATCATCATCCTCATCATCATCATCATCATCATCATCATCATCGTTAGCATCATCATCATCAGCAGCATCACCATCAGCGGCGTCAGCATCATCAGCATCAGCATCCTTATCGACGTCATCATCAGCATCATCATCAGCAGGGGCAGCATCATCATCAGCACCATCATCATCATGAGTATCATCAGCATCATCATTAGCATCAGCATCAGCATCATCAGCATCCTCATCATCATCGTCATCAGCATTAGGAGCAGCAGCCTCGTCGCTCCTGCTCCTCATCCTCCTCCTCTTCCTCCTCATCCTCCTCCTCCTCCTCCGTTTCCTCCTCCGTTTCCTCCTCCTGTTCCTCCTCCTTCTCCTCCTCCTTGTGCTCCTCCTCCTCCTCCTCCACATCGTCCTCCTCCT